GATGTAGGCAAGACAGAGTTCAGCGGAGGATCCACTATCTGCAATTGTTTTAATTCTATCAACACCCCTTGTCCCTCATGTTGTAAGTTGCGCATCATGGCATGCAAAGATACTTGAGAGGAACAGAGAGAAGGGTCGCCCTGTAACTTTACCCGGACACCTCCCAAATTGAGCTTCATAGACATGTTGCCCCAATTCATCACTGAGTCCCCGAGGGATGCTRACCAAGGAAAACCAAGAATGACATCCGTAGAACCCAACTTTAAGGGAAAGAAATCAGCAATAACATCCAATTCGGGTAAGTTGAGGCAAACCTGACGGCAAACTCCGGAAGTTCTCACCTCATCACCATTTCGTGTGTAGGGGTACGGGGTAATTTCAATTCTTCCACTAAAGTTGCGGAGAAAAAGTTGTGGGATGCACTCGAGTCTACCAATATGACCACCTCACGTGACAAAATGCGTCCACGCACCTTAAGCGAATTTGTCGCACACAACCCAACAAGAGACAAGACACAAAGTGCGACTGATTCTGGAGTTGGAGCAATTTCAGTGTCCCCGGAAGTGCAGTCCCAATTAGACGCATTAGAATCAAGTCCCTCCACGTCATCTTGAACCCATAAAACCTGAAGTGATTTCTGAGCACAACGATGTCCTAGGCTGTATTTCTCGTCGCAATGAAAACATAGAACCTTCGCTCGTTTCTATTGCACCTCTTTGTCGGTCATCTTTTTGAAAGCAGGAGGCGGGCCTTAATAATAGGGGCTGATGCAGGAGAAGGAGGGATTGCTACTCGTGTAGGTTGGGAGACAGCAGAAGTAGTCACTTGTGAAACTCGTGAGTTAAAGTGGGTTCCAGAGAGGGACGTTGCGGGCCCACGAGGATATGAACTGGGTTGATAGGCCCATAAGGCCTGATTCTTTTCCTCAATATTCTGGGCTGCAACCATTTTTCTAATCAGCCCAACGGGTTCCATCTGTCGGAGTTCGGCCTGGATATCTGGGCGCAACCCATTCACAAAGGCTGCTTCAAGGACTGATTCTGGTAGGTCACGTAAGGGGGMAGAAAGCACCTCGAAATGGCGACRATATTCCTTGACAGTAGTGGATTGGTGTAATGATAGAAGCTGCTCCTGCAAGTTTCCCTCCTGAGTTGATCGGAAACGTTCAAGGAGGAGTTCCTTGAATTCTGCCCAGCTACGAAAGGGTCGCCGACCATCTTCCCAATAATACCACACCAGTGCATCACCTTCTAAACAGACCACTGCAGCCTGCAGACGTTCCGCCGGAAGCAAGCCATTAATCTCAAAATAGCGCTCCGCGCGAAAAAGCCAGCCGTCTGAATTTTCCCCATCAAAAATAGGCAGCTCCAACTTCGGAGGAAGTGAATCAGAAGTATGTTCCGGGACTGTCATTGAAGGGGACGTCAGGAAAGCTGCACCCTTTCCTTTGTCAGCCGCACGACTTGATGCGGATACAGGAGGAACATTGTCAGTTGTAGACAAAGGAGCTGACAAGGACTGTTGCTGCAGCAACAGATCAGAACGCCTTACCAAGTCTTGTATGCCTCCTTCCAGGGATGTGATCTTCGACAGTCCAGCTGTTATCTCATCACGCAAGCCATCCATTTCAGAATGCAGAGAAGTCAAGCGTTCTTCGAAGCCCTCCACCTGCGATGCCACTTCCTTAGCTGTCACCATGGCCGAGGAAAGACGCGCTCTGATACGACTGATATGCCCCAGAATATTAACACGCACTTCACAGACTCACAGCAGAATCCAAACCACTAGTACCTCAAGAGGGAACTGATATTCATTCAGAAGAAAAGAGGATCACTTACAGTAGGTCGGTTCTTCGAGAGACCGCCGGCTCTCCCAAGCACTCTCAGAATTCTGTACTCAGCAAAAGTCTGGCTTCTCCCTCCTCCAAAGCCCCTTCTTATACACATCTTACAGCCTAACTGCCTTTCATAATAAATGCCCAGCTGGCTGAAATATAAATGCCCCACTCTTCTTATTCCCAACTAACAAGTTATAAATGCTAAACGCCCTATACTCTTCCTATTCTCAACTGACAAGCTATAAATGCCACAAAATCTCTCCTTATTCCCTCCAGCCATAAATTCCGCCATGTTCAATTATTTCCCCCCCCCCTTGGCCGCCAGCTGACCTTTCCCCTTCCTGGTGTATGTAAAATTAATTGGGGGCCTATCAATGTCCTGTGGTCCCTTAGGAAGAGATGAACATCAGAATCTTTTTAAACAAGGAATAGTCCCTGGAGATTTTGACAGACTTAATCACTATTGGGCTCGCATGAGATTTAGAGTTTGGTGATGTCTTTATGCATGAAATGATTACAGGATGGTATTATGTGGCTTCATTATCAACTAGCAAGTCCTTTGTTGGGACTTGGGAGGCTGTCAACCAAGTCATAAATACCTGTGAAAAACTTCAAAAAAGATAGAAGTTCTGGGCTCTTTCTCGGTTTCTCCTCATGTGTGTACTTTGTTGGAAGAGTGGGGAAAGTACTAATCAACTTCTGTTGCATACTTGCATTGTTCCTATGCCTCTAGTTTGTGGCTGATCACTCTCGGACTGTTTGGAAAACTTAGAGGGCACCTTCTGACATAGCTGATTTGTTTAAATCAGATTGGTTGGGAAGGGGCAGTAGAAGGCAAAAAATTCTGTGGCAGTATTTGCATGGGTCAGTGTTGTGGGGCATGTGGGGTGAAAGAAATGCAAGGAGTATAGAAATGTGGAGGGCAGTTTTGACCTGATAAAGATTAGGGCTACTCATTGGGTGGTTGTGCTTGAAGACTTCAAAGGTGTTTCTTTAAATGATCTTTTAAGAGAGTGGCAGGTTGTGGCTGAATTTCAAGCTGGAAGGCATCAGAGTGTGACTGATTGGTCCCCTCCTTCAGAAGGTGTAGTCAAGTTGAACTTTGATGGTTGCTGTCTTGGGAACCCTGGAGCTTCTGGAGTAGGGGGTGTGGCCAGGGATCACGAGGGTAACACAATTCTAAGTTTCTCTGGGCCAGTGAGATTTTGAAATTCTTTTGAGTGCAGAGCTACTGACTTTGATTCAAGGACTAAAATTGCTGGTGTTAGGGAAATTATTAGATAGTGATCAGATGGATGAGTAATAAAGGAAAGCATCCTTAGTCCTCGCAGCACTTTATTAGAGAATAGAAACCCTGGGCCCTCAAATGCTAAACTAAACATTTAATTCACTGACAGTTCAGCTGGGGAGACACAATGGATTTATCTATACAGTTGACAATGCTGGGCAGCCTGGGCTAGTTGTTATTATCTAGTCTTGGGGTTTGATCACTGGTTTTATAGTGGTTAGTTACTTTCTTTATGGGTCTGTATTTTTCAGTCATGGAGGTTCAGTTTTCTTGTATCAACCTTTTATTTCTAGTTTACTTCGTGCATGTGAGATAACAGAAGAACAAAGTCCAGAACAGTTATAGAAATAAAACAAGGAGCAAAGCCAACCCTTAAAAAAAGAAAACATAACAGTGACATATACATATATTTCACAAATCCTAGATGCTAAATACTCACTTCCAAACCAAGCAATCAATAGAAGCATTGTACTTAGCTCGACCGGATGTCACTTGAAAACTTGTTTTTGCAGTTTGCTTTGGCACTGGAACCTTGATTACAACTCCAAGTGCAAACATTTTTGCACCAAACACACTCTTCACCTGAACATTGACACTATTAAAGAGGTCCAAGACATGAAAACATGAAATATGCATCATTTGGTATGCAAGTACGCACTTTAACATTTACTTCCATACGTGTCCTACCCAATTCCTTGATTGTTGGCAACACTCGAAACGGAAGATTAACACCTTCAGTAATACGATACCTAGACAAACAAATATTATCATTAAAAAGGAAATGTTAAGAAAGACAAAGAAGGCAAAAGCCCATTTTAATTATTTAATTATTGCATCAGTAGTCAGAGTATAAAATATACATACTGGAACAAAGAAATTTAAAATGAGGTTGAATGGAGGCAAGAATGTGCCACCACATCAAATGGTTTCATGCAACAAAGAAAGTGGATAATACAACCAGAAACATGTAGACACACAAGTTGCCGAGTACAAAACCATGGATAGGGGAAATCATTGAGTGGACCTGCAACAACTTCAATTCATTTTCTAAAAGATTGAATTTTATTAACATAAGATAGAAAGAACTGCAAATCAGCACTTATCAAAAAGTGCAGAACCATCTTAAATATAAAATTACATTATCCAAAAGTGAAAATATAGAAATAGTCAAAACAGAAGAAACTTACAAAACATTGTGATTCCTTAAGGGGTCCCTCACATGAAGGTGTTTTTACTCAACCAGAGAAGCATCAGATGGGACTTAAGCCAATACAAGGCAAGGTAGAGATACCAAGTAGATTCTAATATGGCAACAGTAAACTGCGCCTTCATGTGAAAGGCCCCTCATTGAATCAAACCCCATTTTGCAAATAAACATCCACATGTTACCCAAGTGGCTACGAAGAAAATAACATTTCTATTGTTATTGTTAGTGGTGTTAGTGAAGGGGTATTTCAGTCTTTGTACTTGTTGAAAATGCTGATGTGTACTGTTATATTAGTTCGAGTGCCTCTTACTTAAAGAAGGGCACTCAAGTCTTTTCCAATAA